GGGGAGGCCGCCCCCCACCATGCCCGAGGGACGCGCGGAGAGGGACCGTGGTCGGTTGGAAGCCCTGTCCTGCCCTCCAGCCCCGGCGTGTCCTGATTCTACTTTGTCCACTTCTCATCTCCCGGGAGTGAGTCTCTGCCGTCGGGAGGCCGTGCCCATGCGCAGAGACCCAGAGGGGCTTCCGAACGTCACGCTAGGCTCTCCACGCAGGCCTGCTGGCCAGGCGTCTGCTCTACCCCTGCCCTGTTCCGGGAGACTCCGGAACCCGCGTCTGGGCCCCGCAGAGGGGTCGGGACCACAGCGCCCGGGGCATTCGGGAGCGTCCAGCCTGGCCAGAACCTGCAGCCGAGCATCTCCCGGGCTCCGAGGGGCCACGGTGCTCCCCGAGCCACGGGTCTGGCCTGATTCTCCTTCCGGGGCGGTGCTGGGCTCTCTCTCCCCAGCAGCGGGCTTCGCTGGTGTGTCAACCTCGACACGGGAGGCAGCACACGAAGCACAGGTGCTCTGGGCATGAGGAGCCCGGGGCCGGGGCAGGCACCACCGGGATGTGGCCTCATGGGATCCCCAGAGCCAGGGGAGCCCTGGGCACAGCCGGGGTGACACGGAAACACGGAACGGGAGGGGAGAGAGCTGGGACTGGGGCAGCCTGCCACGGGCCAGGCTCGGCGCGGCGTCCTGGGAGGGAGCGGCCGGGGAGGCTGCCCCTGGGCACAGTTCCGGTGCCTGACGCCTCGCTGTGGCCACGGAAGGGCCCCCGGAATGTGCTGTGGAGCTGGGCGCTGCCATGAAGGCCCGGGGCCCCCTCAGGACACGGAGTGGCCGCATCCACCCGCACCTGCACCCAAACCCTAGGGGTACGTCCTCCAGGGCAGGGGCCACGCTCAGCGTTTGGGTGCTCCAGCCCGGGGTCAGTCTGAGCTCTCCTCTGGGGGTGCCCACAGGGTGTTTCCTGCCTCGGGCCCCCACCATGGGGCCCACGAGCCACAGAGCTGGGGGAAGGGCCCGTGCAGGGCCGGGACAGCCTGGGGCAGGGTCTGACGGAGGCACGTGGGCCCCAGGCCTCTCACGCCGTGTTAGGAGACGCACCCGTGTCCACACCGCAGGAGGGCCGAAGCCTGGCCGCCCTGTGGAACGACACGGGTGAGGGTGGGGCGGGGACGGCCAGACTGAGACCCCCCTCCCCAGCGCTGTCCTGGCCCTGCCTGAGGCAGAGAGGGGCCAGGGCTGGGCCCTCCAACCCCTGGCTGGAGCTGTGGGCTCGGGGCAGGCACAGAGGGGCAGGAGCTCTTGGGAACAACCGGGCAGTGGCCGGTGCCCTGCCTGGGGTTGGTGGGGGGCTGCTGCAGCTCCTCCCACCACGACGAGGCACATCCCACACCCCCTCATGCCGGGCCAGGGACCCAGACCCCGACTGTCCCTATGGCCAGGCTATGTATGCCCAGGCAGTGCTGGACGTGTCCCCGAGGCCACCGCTGTCTGGCTTCAGGCACGGAGAGGGACAAGCCGTCCCCATGGGCACTCACCCAGGGAGAGAGACCCCAGGGACCCCCCTCCGGGCTCCACGGGGCGTGCGGGAGCCGCCCAGACCACCCACCTGCCGAGCCGGCCTCTCGCCCTCGTGGCCTCTCCAGGACTGCCCTGGTCACTGTGCCCGGACAGTCCTCGTGGTGCTGCCGCGCCCCGCCCTGGATGGCTGGAGCACAGGGACCCACAGCCGAACGTCCTCGGAGCTGGGCTGGCCCCCGCGACGGAGTCTCCACGCGAGCCTGCCCGCTGCTGCAGCCTGGCACGTGGGCTCCCGAGACCTGAGCCAGCCCGAGTGAGCACCAGACTCGGAGTAGCCTGTGGGCTGCAGAGCCCCCGGGCCCGGTTGGCCCCACAGTAGCACTGACGTCCCGGGCCCCTTGGCCCAGGAGGACGACAGGCAGCTCCGCGTCAAAGGGCGCAAGCGAGACCCTCCTCACCGCTGGGGGCCCGGGTGGGGCCCTTGCTCTCCGCCCACTCCTGCCCGCCTGAGCCAGGCTCTCCGGGCTCCGGTCCATCCCGCCATCAGCACAGAGAGGCCGGCGGTCACTCGCACTCAGGACACCGCTGCCCTGGGCACCAACGTCCAGGCTGACCCTTACACCTGCTCCTCCTAGGCCGAGGGCTGCCTCACCCGAGCTCCAGACAGGACTGCTTGTCCACGCGGCCACGGCGTCTGCCTGGCAATGGCCAGGGTCCTCACTGCGAGCAGAGGGAATGGGGCGTCAGGCGTCCACTGCTGACCCAGGCCAGCCTCAGCAAGGCCAGCAGGAAGGAGCGGGCAACGGATGCCGTGTCTGTCGGGAGCTCCTGGTCCTCACCGTGATCCAGGCGTGGCCTTGGGACGTGGGGACGGGGGATTCACAGGGCCCAGGGCCGCAGCGAGAGCTGACACACGGGCACTGCCCGCCCCTCAGGGCCCCGCGGGGACATGGGACACAGAACCAGACCCGACCACCCATGCGCCCACACCCAGGGAGCACTCTGGAAGTCTGGGCTGATGGGCACAGGGGTGGCGTGACAGCAGGTGAGTGAGGTTGGGGGCGTGGGCTCTCCCCCCGGAGCGATGGGTCTGCTGGTGGCACCCCGGGGCCTCCAACTTCCTGTGCCCAGACCCCCTCGAAGAAATGGGGGGAGGGGGCATTTCACAGAGCTCGTTCCCGGGACACAGAGCAGACGGAAGTCGGGGTCTACACTCTTCTCCAGTCGGTTCAACCGAGCACTGGGGCTGGGGTCTCAGGGGTCTTCCCCCAGCCCCTGCCTGTCTCACACTGAGCTGAGAGAGTGGCCGGGGGGTCAGAACCAGGCCGGTGTGAGCCACGCTGTGGTCTGGGAGACCGAAAGGACGGGGGGGGGGGGGGGCTTAGGATGCAGCTTGGGTGGCGGAGGTCAGGACCCGGCCTGCAAGAGGGGCCACGGGGCCCTGCCCCAGGGCGGGGGCTGTCCAGGAAGGGAGCAGGCGGCCCGGTCCCCGCCGCGGCCTGGGTGGGGGCTGGAGCGGGCTCAGTGCAGTGGAGCCTGCGGGGAAGGGAACATTCCAGAGAGGCCAGGCACCGTGTGCCTGGGAGCTGTCCTGTCCACAGCAAGCTGGTGGCAGTGACCACTTCGGGCAGCCCCGGGCCCCACCTGCCCTGCCCCTCCTGGGGTCCACGTGGTGGGGAGTGAGTGAGGCTGGACCGAGGGTCCCGGCACACGCCCCACCCCGGCCTTTGGGAGCGGGCTCTGTCCTGAGCTGGTGTGTCACTCGGGCCCTGGGTCTCTCGAGTTGCCTCACCCACCCTGCCCGGACAGCTTCACGGGACCCCTGAGGGGGAGCACCTGCCCGACGTCCTGCGGGCAGCACCCAGGTGGGGGCCGAGCAGCCAGACGTCACTTTTGACCAGCAGAGTCGGGCGGGCCACGGCGCAGGGACTCGCCACGTTCCTGGTCAGCAACGAGAAGAGGCTGACTGCCCGCCAGCGTGGGTGGGCAGGGCTCGTGATGGCACCCAGGAGGAGAGCTGCAGTCTGCTGGCCGGACAAGGGCTCGCGGGACAGGGGCCCCTCGGCCATCTCCTGATGTGGACCCAGCTGGCCCAGTGGCCCGGCCCCTCCTCAGGCCTGACAGCCACAGTTGAGGGACGGCAAGTGGGTGTCCTCTCTGAGTCCCCTAAACAGGGTGGCCACGGAGCAGGGGAGGGGGCAGGCAGTGACCACTGGGCGTGCCAGGTGGGTGGGTCAGGTTGGGTGTGTCGGGCGGGTGTGTCTCTGCACTGGGTCTCTCTGGGGCAGGCGTGGGGGTGGTCCAGACCTGGTCTGCGGCCCCCCAGCCTCTCTGCTCTGCCCTGTGTCGACTGCAGATGCCCAGGTCCATGGGCACAGCCAGGGTTACCTTACCTGGCCTGGAACCCCCAGCCAGCCAGTGCCAACGACACCGTGACCCAGAGGCCCTGCTGGGCGGCAGGAGGCTGACCCCAAGGGGGCCACAGTCGGACCCCAAGAAAAATGGTTGGTGCAACCCCAGCGCTAACCACAGAGCCCACTGCGGCCCAGGGCACACCCCTGCGGAGTGTGCAGAATGTGTGGTGTGTGGAGTGTGGGTGTGGGTGTGGTAGGGGCTCCCCAGGCCGCACACTGCCGGGCAGAGGGGTTGGCGCCCTCTGGCCTCTGGACACGCTAGTGAGCCCGCCCGGCTGGCTCCAGGAAGCTGGCTGGTCCTCACGACCTGAGAAATGGGTCCCTGGAGGCCTTTCGTTAGCGCACGATGGGCCAGGGTCCAAGGAGGCGGAGGGCGGCACGGCAAGGGGCGCCCCTCTAGTCGGCAGAGGGCACGGCAGGGAGGACACAGGTGCCGGTCAGGGAGTGGCCGCCCACAGCCTCAGCCCCCTCCCCCGCCCCCCGCTCCGCGCACACCAGCAGGACAGACGCTCTGGGCCAGAGGTCAGGCCGCCTCCCGCCGCCCACCCTGCGGAATCTCCAGGTCAGCTGCGCCCGTCCGCGCTGCCCTGTGACCACCAGAGCCAGAACGACCCGGCGGCCTGGGCAGGACAGCGTCAGCGCCCCAGTGCCGGGCCAGCAGTGGGACCCCGAGACCAGCTCAGCTCGGCTCGGCTCGGCCTGCCGGGACAGGTCTGCAGCGCAGGACGGGCGGGCGGCCACGGAGGCCAGGAAGGCCTGGAGGTGCATAGGAGGAGCCCCGCCCAGGCGGGGCCCGGTGGGAGCACGGACAGGGCCCCGGCAAAAGTCCACCTGCGCCCAGAACACAGAGGGAGGCGCCGCCCACTGAGCAGTCCAGCTCTGGCTTCTACACAGCCCTCCCCCAGCCCCTCCCCAGCTCCTCCTCCTCCCCGTTTGTGTGTCTGTGTGTGTCTGTGTGTCTGTGTCTGTGTATCTGTCTGTGTCTGCATTGCCTGTGTTTTTCTGTGTGTGTGTCTGTGTGTCTGTGTGTGTCTGTCTGTGTGTGTGTCTGTGTCTGTGTGTGGGTCGGGCCCACCCTACCTGTGTCTGAGTCGGGTGGCTGCTGCAAGCTGGCCCTCAGGCGCTGAGTCCCCAGGGACACTGGGTAGCCGGGCACGTCCATGGCGGGAAGCCACTGGCACCTTCCGAACGCTCCATCTGCGAGGGACAGAGATGAGGGCATAGTGAGGCCACTTCAGTGAGGAGGAGTCACTCCCACCCAGCAGCTCCAGGCTGGCCGGCGCGTGCACACGGCCCCGGAGTCCTCACTCCAAGCACCACAGCCACGAAGGCTCAGGAAGCAGTGCTCAGGAGACAGCCAGACCCGGGGAGCCCCGAGATGCCTCTCCCGCCCCCGCCCCGGGTGCCTCGCTGTCCGCACAACAGCCAGGATGGCAACAGAAAGCCAGCCGTGCTCGGGGCCAGCACACCCAGGAGCGCACGCACGTCGCGGGCCGGGGGCGCCGGCCTCCGTGGGGCGCTGGCAGAGGGGCAGAGAGAGCGCAGGGGGGCCCTTCAGCCGGGCATTCACGGCTCGACGCCGCCTCGGCTGCCTTCCAGCCACGCCTTCTAATTAATTTAGGCACCAATTAGTCTGCATTCAGCAAACTGTTCACTTTGAGACCAGCTTCCCGTGGGGGGTTCAAACATTCAAACGGCGCCTTTGGCACACAAAGAGCGGCCGAGGGCAGCGGGTGCGGGCGGCGGGCATCTGCACCCGGCCGCGGGCGGCTCCTCTCATTGTCCACAACAGTTTCATTTCCCTGAAGAAAGCCATTCAGGGGCAACAGGTTTAATGAGCGCCGCGATCCCGGCCTCTCCGGTAGTCAGCGGCAGCATCTTGAGGACCTCGGGCCTCTCCCGCGTGGGGCGGCCAGCCCAGCCCCGCGCCACCTGCCCAGCTGCCCCGGGGGACAATGGCCGGGCCCCTGCCACCGCAGCGTCCCCTGGTCGCGGGCACAGAGGTCCCAGGGGAGCAGGGCGGGGGGGGGACAGAGGAAGCCTGGGTGCAGGGAGCCGGCAAGCTCCCACGTTGATGGGGGGCGGAGAGAGGAGCAGGAGGGGCCCCCCGAGGGGGAAGCCAAGGCACCACCCCTGTCCCTCCTGGGCAGGACGTCGCCCTCCCCCAAGACAGTCAGCCCTTCCCTCGGCACACCCCAACGTGCTGCCAGTCTGGGGCGTGGCTCCTCCAGGCACCAGCCTTCGATCCCTTGTGTGGAGGACGGAGCCAGGAAGTGAAGCACACACACTCACACCCAAGCACCCACGCACACACCTACGCACACCACGCACTCAAGGCACCTGTGCACACCCACACACACACACACCCATGCATTCACATATGCACACCCATGCACTCATACAAGCACATCCACGCATGCACCCATGCGCGTCCATTCACTCACACATGCACATCCATGCATTCATCCATGCACATCCATGCACACACATGCACACCCATGTACACATGCACATCCATGCACACACATGCATATCCATGCACTCACATATGCACATCCATGCACACACGCGCACACCCACGTACACTCACATTCATGCACACATGTGCACATCCATGCACACCCTCACACGCACACACGTGCACACCCACGCACACATGTGCGCCTCTGCACAGGAGCCAGCACAGCCTGTTGACCTGCGGCAGGGCTGCAGCATCCCGGGCACAGGGAGGGGCTTCAGCAGCCTGGAGCAGCCCCCCTGGTGGGCTCAGCCGTCCCTCTGGGTCCTCCTGGCCTCCCGCCCGACACCCAACCAGCCTTTGGAGACGCGGCCACAGTGCCCCCTGGTGGGCCCTTCCCTGCACTGCAGGGTCCCCAGGAGGCCAGGTGACAGCAGCTCTGTGCAGGCTGACACAGACACACAGACACACACGCATGGGTGTGTACATGCACAGAAATGCACACGGGCACAGGCATGCACACAAGCCTACATAGGCACACATACACATGCATATGTACACGTGTATACACACATACACACGCCTCACGTGCATATGCACATATGTCCATTCACCATACACACAAACACCTACGCACACATATACACATACATACATACGCACAGACACAGATGCACATTCACATACAACCACACGTAAATACACACGTTCACACGTACGCCCCCACATACACACCCTTGCACACAGGCATTGGGCTTCCACCATGGGCGTCCACGCCAGCCGGGGCAGCTGAGGGGTCGGCTGAGCCCTGCACAGCCACCCACCCCAACGGTTCCAGGACAACCGCTGCTCCCTCATGGATGGGCGCTGGTGAGGGCAGCGGGAGCAGGACCGCCGGGCGGGGCTCAGGCCCTCGCGGTACCCATGTCGCCGACATGGGACAGCTATTTGGCCACGGGCCGCTGGTCTCTGGGGCCCGAGCAGCTGCAGCCGCCATGTCCCAGGTCCCCACAGAGGGGCCGTTGGGACAAAGCTGCAGGCAGGCGACTCTGCCGGGGTGGGGGCAGACCCACGGTCACACCAGTCCCCGAGGACGGCGGGGTCGCAGCAGTGAGCCCCCCCCCCGCAGCCCAGCCCACTGCCCGGGACGGCGGGGGGTGCTGCAGGACCCCCGCGGCACCCACCAGGCCCAGCACCCACGGGGCTGCCTCGGAGGGCCCCGGGCACCACCACAGGACAGCAAGGCCACGGCCGTCGGCATCACCCGCCCAGCGGCCGGGACGGCCCATGCCGAGGGCAAGGGACACGGCTCGGCAAGGAGCTGTCCATGCTGAGGGGGCGGGGGCAGCTGCCCAGGGCAGCAGCCGGGAGCCACTCGACCCAGTTCAGGGACAGGGCTGATTGGAGGGCGGCGCCGGTGGCCCACGAGAGTACCACCGTCAGGCCATGCAGGAACGGGCAGGGGGCCACCAGGACCGCCTACTTCCTACCATCTGGCCACCGGGAGCGTCCCCAGTGCCGGGTACAGAGCGGCCAGTGGTGACTCCAGATGACGGCCCTGGGGGGACACAGGCTGGGAGGAGACAGCAGAGTCACCGCCCGGGACCAGCCCGGCTCCTTGGGAAGGCCCAGGGCCGGCTCTGCTCACCACAGCGAGTCCGGAGGGGCCGGATCTGGGCCAGACCTGCAGAGGGATGACCGTTGGCCACGGTGGAAATGGCGGGGCAATGACACACCAGCCTACCTATCAGCCACCGGGGCCCGCTCAGCAGGGGCGGCCACGCAACACATGCGAGCACACATGCCCGACACAGTACACACACACCACAACACACACCCAACACAGTGCACACACACACATGCCACCACACACGCTCAGCACAGTACACCCACACACACCATACATGCTCAGCACAATACACCCACACACACCACCACACATGCCCAACACAGTACACACACACCACCACACATGCCCAACACAGTACACACACACCACCACACATGCCCAACACAGTACACACACACGCCATCACACATGCTCAACACAGTACACCCCCACACATACCATACACGCTCAAGACAGTACACCCACACAACCATATATGCTCAACACAATACACCCACACATACCACCATACACGTTCAACACAATACACCCACACATACCACCTACACACTCAAATCACAGTACACTCACACACACCACCATACGCACTCAACACACAGTACACTCACACATACCAGACTGCACACTCAACACAGTCCACTCACACACCACCATTCACACTCAACACACAACATGCACACCCCACCATACATGCTCAACACAATACACTTGCACGCGCCAACACAAACATGCTCAGCACACACAGACCACACTCATATACAACAGACAACCCCATACACAACACATAAAGACACGCCAACCATGCACAGAAACACACGGAACACACAGACGGCGCCTAGGCAGACACATGAGATGGGGCACATGCAAGGACACTGCGTGGGGCCCGGAGGCAGAACCCGTGGCAGAGGACAGGTCTGACCACGGCAGCCCGTCCCCCGCCCCCACAGGCGCCCGCGCCCTGGCACCCAGCAGACTGGCCGAGGCGCCCAGACAGGGACCGTCCCCGCGCCTGCTCTCGGCGCCACCCTCTGGGCTTGCCCCACTGGCCTTTCTGAGCCGCCACAGAGCCGGTGCCTGTCCCTGGGTCCGAGGGAGCCACTGGAAGACCCGGAGCAGAAGCCACAGGCTGCCAGGCCAGGGCTCATGCAGGGCTGCCCTTCCCTACGCCCCCCAACCCTGCCCCTCACACCCCGACCCCCGACCCCTGCCCCTCACACCCTATTCTCCACACCTCACACCCCGACCCCCGTACCCCTGCACCCTCACACCCCGCTCGCCACCCCCTGCCACCTCACACCCTGCTCCCCGCACCCCTGCTCCCCGCCCTTCTACAACCCTGCTCCCTCATTCCTGCTCCCCGTAGCCCCCACCCTCTGAATCCCTGCACCCTGCTCCCCCCACCCCTGCACCCACTCTGAGCGACAGACCCCGCCCCAGCCACGCAGACTGTGGCAAACATGCCAGAGCGCATGCCCAGCTCTGGAGGCGGACACTGGCCTCTCCTCCCACAGCCTGGCAGGAGCAAACACCCAGGGTCAGCACCCAGGGCCAGCAGCCACGTCCAGCACACAACGACCTGCACCCAGACCCCAGGACTAGGCCTCAGCACCCAGCACCCACTGACCACTCACTGATCAGCTCCCAGAACCAACACCCATGACTAGCACAAGATCTCAGCACCCAGACCCCAGCCCTCACGGACAACTCACTGACCAGCACCCACTGACCAGCAACCAGGGGCCAGCAGGAGCAGCAGCATTAGGAGAGGAAGAGGCTGCCTGGGGCTGAGCCGCACAGCAGGGAGTGAGGCGTCCACGTGTGTGTGTGTGTGTGTGTGTGTGTGTGTGTCTGTGGGGGGAGCTGGGGGGCGGCTTGAGGTGCCTCCTGGGACCCTCTGCTCTCTGGCCACTGAGCACAGCTCTGGGCTGGACCGCAGAGTGGGGCCCCTCCCAACCTGGGCTTGAGTCCAGCCCCTGAGGGAGAAGCCCCAGAGGCCCCTGGGAGACGCGCCCCCCCCTGGCCGAGGAGGGGGCCACAGGTCAGCCTCACACAGGTGCCCCAGGGGGACAGATGGGCCTGAGGGCAGGGGTGCAGGTTGGTCCTGCAGGG